CAATTTGAGCTAAATCCCTCTGATTATATCTCTAAAATACATATGGACTCTCTGGCCTCATCACCATTGCCACTTCCTCAACTGTCCTGTTTTAATAGCCTGTGACCAAGACCTGGAATTCCAACTATGTAACCCTCAAGTGTATCAGAGTGATCTTTGAACATGCAGATCCAATGCCAGTGTTCACAACCCTGTCACCTACTAAAGGCCAGTCTGCCTTGTATAAAAGACAGCCCCTCAAAAATCAGTCCCTTATCTACCTCTGTGGCTTAATATCTCATCACTTCCACCTTGAAATGCATGCTTCAGAAACACTCAACTACCAAGCGCACCCTAAAGAAAATCTGTAGTTTTCTTTCACAGACTGTTTCCTCTTTTCCAAGTTCTCTTCTTATCCTCGTCTTCCAGGAGAACTTTTTATTTCCCAAACCCTGGCACGGTCACAATTTTCTCTGAAATCCTGCTGTAAGAATTCATTAACTCTTCATTACCTTGTATATATTTCTATTACTAAATATATACATATATGTTTAATGTTTTTGTATAAAATTATATTTATATGTTATGTATAATTTATATATTACATATAATATATGTAATTTATTATATTTAATATATTGTGTATAATTCATATATATTACATATATAATATACAAATATATGTCTATAATATGCATAATATATAATATACATATGATTATACATAATATACATACAATTATAATAATATACTGTTATTTAGTATTTATATATTATATGTAATATATAATTTATATATATAAACATATATCTTTCCAAATGGATATTAAATGTAATATATAAATAATACTTTACATATATATTTTTTCATGTATCTACCTCTTTTTCTCTCTTAAACTCTGAATCTAACCATGCCTTTGTACTCCTGGTGCCTAGCATCAATATAGTAATACAGTAGGTCTTAGTAAGTGAACTACTGAATAAATAAATGATTAATGAATAAATCAATGCTAACTTGTCTCTTTATAGCTTTGTATTTAACAGGGATATAAATGAAAGCTGTGAATACAGTGTGTACTATCTAATGCACTCCAGCTTAGAGAACTTGTTTATCTACTGTTTTTATAACCAAACACATAAATAATAAAATAAACCAGATTGCTTTATAGTTGTTAAACTGGAGCTGTTAAATTCTACAGTTCTTCTCCAGAGAAGAGGCATATTTTCAGCATTTTATGTAATGGAAGGACTTTGCCCAGAAAAAGAAGCTAGGTACCCAACTTGGATGTTCATTGGGTTGCATCTGTTTTGAAGTCACGTTTGCCTTCAGACCATCCCTGTTGCGGAGAAATGAAACACGATGTGCTGATAATGAATCAATAATATGTTGATACTGTGCACGGGGATTAATCAAGAGCACTCGTTCTCTTTCAGGACAATTTCAAGCTGCCAGTAATCAGCAGAGACATGCAAGCTGGAGAGCAAGCCAAGCACACACTTGACAGGGACAATCAAGCTGTACATACCGATCTCCACAGTGAAATTCAGAGAGGGCCTTCCAGTCCCCAAGGCTGGAAATGCACACAACCTTAGGTTAAATACCAATTCCCTCATTCTGTCTTTGGGTCAACTAGTACACATTCAAATTACTTAACCTTGAGTTGCTCTCTTGTAATAGAGATACTAACTTACCTTTTTCCTTTATACTCGAGAGGAGTATCTAATTAAAATAAAGATTTTCCCCTCCATTTGGATATAAATACTTAATTCTTGCAGTTGACCATTTTATCACTTCTTGCTTCCTCATTATATATAGAGTAAATATCAACTTCATAGAGTAGAGTAAACCATTACAGCTCTGATTAAAGTGACCCTAACAATCTGGTGTTGATTGCCTCCTTCGGGGAGAATTCATTGATAAATAATAATATGAGGACGCAAAAGATGCTGTTTTAGCTGTTCTTCTGAAAAACAATACTTAGAAGTAAGACAATATAAAAACTGATGAAAAAGTTTGTTCCTATTTTTATTCTCCCATTTAAAAATTATATGAAGATCTAGCATTCATTCCATCATTACACATGAAAAATGTAAAACTAAGCAAGTTAAAGGGATTGTCTCACTGTCACCAAGTTAGTTGTTTCCAGAATGTTAATTCCGTTCAACTACCTGTGTTTGCAGAACCCATCTGCATGTCCCTGACTTTACTGACTACTACTCTCCAGATCTAATTCCCTATCTGGACAGATGGTGCTCTCACTCAATACTACATGTTCCCTTGGCATGAAACTGTGGATTGCATAAACCTCTGATCCCTGCCAGAAAAGTCTTCCAGTCTTGGTCTCTCCTGTCCTATAGTTAGCAACTAGCATCCCTGTTGAATATTTACCAGCTCTTTCATATTATCCTGTAGGTCCTTTTTTTTTTTACCCATCTCCACCCTACTCTGTGCCCCAGGAGGCTAAAGAATATGGATTATATCAATTTACAACTTTATCTTCTGGGTTCTAGTTAGATTTAGCCAACTGGAAGCACCCACAGGGGTGGGGAAAGGAGAGTAAAGTCATGATATTCATTCCTACAGTTTTCTTCCCGAGGATCAACTCCCTCAGTCCGAGGTTACAGCACCTCCCGTGTGCCTTCTCTGTAAGTAACACCTACGGTTACAAGCTACACTAGCAGGTGTGGTTTCCTGATATCATTCTCACTCTTTTGTAAGAGGTCCCTTTATAACTAATTCTCCTCCAAGTATCCATTTTTTTTATTTGGACCCAAACTAATACATGAAAGGAAGAAAAAGAGTAGCATATAAAGCAGTGGATATATAAAATAATATTTGGTCTCCTTATTTTTATCTCATCTCTATTCCTATCTCATTTTCCCAAATTATGCCTAATGACAATGCAATGCTCTTGAGAGAAACATTCAATATGTTACTGCCCAATTGAACATACTCTTATTGAAGATGCTGATATTCTTACTATATGTGTGCAATAATTGGCTAATTAGTTAAAAAAACTGATTAATAGCATAGAGTTAGATCAGACTGCTGTGAAGGGACATTATCTCCTCCCCAACTTTGAAAGTTGTATTTCAAAAACCTTTACATAAAAATGAGCTCATGATTGAAGGATTAAAGTACAATTTTCAAAAAAATTCAAAACATGACTCATATAAATATACAATGAACACATATTAAAGATTTAATTAATTAATTAATTAATTAATTAATTAATTAAGGAGCCAGTAAGATAGAGAGCCTAGTTCAGAGGAGATGTTTACATACAGAAACACATAATGACAAAGACATGCTCTCTTTGATCCAATTCTCATCAAACTCCTCTAAGACCTGGAAGTCTTGACCTTGGGCTTTAGTGTACTTCCTTGTGGGGCCTGCATCACCATTGTAGCAAGAATTTTGCTAAGTCAGTTTAGAAGGAATTGCCACACTCAATATTTCATCACCCACAAAATCTGATCAAATTCCTTATCTCCCTACCCCCCCCCCCGTTAACTGATATTTCTAGCCTGTCTTTAGGAGACTGACGCCATAGTTTTGATACTTCATCAGTAATTTCCTATCCACCTTGCTCCCACCTTGCTCTTTGGCTGTAAATCTTTCCTTGTATTTAGAATTGAGCCCAATCTCTATCTCTCCTACTGCAAAATGCCATTGCACTAGTCCCCTGAATAAAATCTTCCTTACTCTTCTTTAACAAGGGTCAGAATGATTTTTAAAAATAACTGTCAGTCAAAGGAACGCTGAAATGGATTTGCTACTAAGATAATGGGTTTGTATTAAGATACAAAACTGTGTACTATTCCATAGAGAAATAAAACTATAACATTTGGCATCATCTTTTCTCCTAGCTAAAACACACAAGTTAACACAGAAATGGAAAATAGTAAAAAATGATTAAGTAGCAAATAGTTAAGTCAATACAGGTGTATCCTCCTTTAAAATTAAATTAATTCTCAGATGTGTCTGTTAAACAATGACATTGAAAAGTCAGTCATCCTCTGATTTATTTACAAGTTTTGGATGATTTTTCTTAACAAAAGATATTAACATTTTATGGAACATGAAGATGAGCCAGATGAAGTTATCAGCAAGTCTACATGCCACCTCCAAACTTTTCATTTATTGAAATCAAAATGAAGGCAAAATCCTACAGAAGCATATAATAGTAAAATCTCCATTGATATTTTATTAAAAATAGATTCCTTGTGCTCTTCTGCTTCTCTATTCCAGGTTGGAATGGGCAATGTAATGAAGTTCATGAGATTCTTTCTCTTTTAAGTAACCTTAATGAGTTTCTTTTATGTATACTGTCATAGATAACTAAATTATCAGGGCTTATAGCTTTTTTTTTCCCCACCTATGCTGATGCTGCAACTTCTCTCACACGTGAAAAACTAAAAGTTTAAACAATTTCTTTCACTAGATGCAGACTTTAAAACTACCATCTGCTTCTAGAAAGAGTTTTAAGGTTCCTTCTACCTGAGACTGTTCTTAAAAGTTTCCAATTATTTTCCCCTTTGGAATCTTTTTGAACCCCTTTTAGCATCACAGGATAAATTAGTTTATAAGTAACAGGATTCTTCCTCAAAAGGAGAGGTAATGAAATTCAAGAAAATGTGAACAACCAAACTTATAAAGGTGAAAAACAAGCAAAAATGCAGCTACAATAAATACTTAACCATACGTCAATATATTACATACCATAATAGCTTGTCTTCACCCCAATTCTGTATCCTGTGGCTCCGTGAGGTAAAAAGTAGTAAACCCAAACTCACACTGCTAAAAAGCATGTATCAGGATGTGATGTCTATCCAATGCTTTTCACTGTACCAGGGTGCCTTCCTAAGAAATAATATATTCTACATTTTTTTAAGGTCACATACCTGCCTTTATTGTGAGCAGCAAGCAGGTAGGACATTTCCAACAATAGTAAAAAAAAAATAAATAATTTACTAAAGCAGGGATTCATTGAAGCTGCCTGGATGGAACCCTTAAGAGCTCATATGAAGATGCTAACCCAGAGCAGCAAGAAGAGGACGACAAAGCCCGGGAAGAGCGAGGCCACCAAAGGGATGAGGAGCTCTTTATAGATTATCCTGAGTGCACTTGGGGGAGTAACCTCATAAACGAAGAGCCAGGAGGTGAAGAACATGCCAATGGCCAAGAGCAGCACAGTCAGATGGGGGAAGACATCTGGGTTCACTGGGCTGGTGTATCTCCTCATGGCCTCTAGCTCCATTTTGTCAAGTACGTGATTATTTACCACCTCGCCACTGGAATAACACACCGGCAGGATATATTCTACATTTTATAGCTATAAATTATACTGTCACCAAAACAAAACAACCAGTCAAGTTATGAATACCCATTGATTCTCAAGTGTAGCACCTTCTCTTCCTCGTTGGTTCTGCAAATAATTTCTTCATGAAAATAAAATGAGGATATGACACTCTGTGTCATCAACATTAAAAGGAAAGCTGAACACAATCTTCCATATTTTTTTTAATACGGAATGCTTCACAAATTTGCATGTTATCCTTGTACAGGGGCCAAATAATCTTCTCTTTATTATTCCAATTTTAGTATATGTGCTATTGAAACAAGCACCATGTCTTCTTGATTTTTTTACAAATACTTCATTAAAAATATGAGTGTAACAAAAATAACAAACTTAAAATAGTCTGCCTTGCGAAAAAGAAAGCTCTTTGTTTCTTCCAAAATTTTGATGTCAAATCTAAAATGTTTTGCTTTCCTGCAAAAGCATGCTTTTTCTCAGTTTTCACCTGCTGTGAGAATTATTCCTACATTATAATTAGTTCAGATAAATGAATGGCAAGATTGCTCTTCAGATTTTACTTTTTAAAGCTCATTTACATGATGGTCTATGATGACATGGTTATTAACAGTTTTTGGGCAATTAATTAAGGTAGTTGGTAGAGTTGTTAGCACAAAATGAAACTAAGAGGTTGTTTTAGTAAATCCTTCTGCTCAGGAGACATGATAGTAGCCATTAATCCACACTAACTAAATGAATAATGCTGTTCCTCCTCTCACACTATTCTCTTTGGTAGGCACTATATTATTTAGCAGATTTAAAAAAAATTTTTTTTCAAGTGTTAAGTTTTGGTATCCTTCAACCACTGTCACAGCTTTCTTCTCTTTTCTCCCCAAGCTGTGAAGCACTGAGTGTGTACTGGCTGTTTTCTCTCAAGGAGCTCTTTCTTTCATCTCGTCACAGGCTCTATCAGACAGAAGTGTATCACAGTAAAAACTCCAGTGATCATTTTTGAGAATAAAGAAATGCCTTTCTGGGGCTCAGGATTTCTCCACTTGCTTATACATTCTCCTCTTCTTTTCCAGATATTCATCTAGGACTTCCCAGTCAGCATCAGTTCTTATTTCCTTCCTGGGCCCAGCCCATGGCTGGGAGGTGGGATTGAGGCTAGTGTTGTGTATGATATGTGTGAGTGGCAGGGACGTACGGCCTCTCTGGCTGAGCCAACATAAGCCTGTGCTCAGTTTCCCACTCTGCCCCTTCCCCTGCCTGCCACAGCACTCCTGGAAAAGCCACAAGCCTGCTGAGATGCCACAACGAGGATAGTTGTCCCAGACTGTCACCCCCAAACTCACAGAGGGCTTTGCCTTTGTGAGAAATAAATTTTGCCGTGTTAAGCCACTAAGGTTATGAACACTGTAGGACAACTTAGTTTATGCACCTTGAAAAGAAACCCTGAGACTGATGCCTTCTTGGCTTATATATTCAGGAGCCCCTTCCCCGTTTACGTTTCTAATTCACAACATTGTGCAATGTGCCCTCAAAGATTTATTGCAATTCAGATAAATGGCAACACATTTTTTGCAGCTTTATTGAGAACTCAGTAAGACATTTGAAGTATATACTAATTCAGTACAGAAAAACGTATTATTTTAGAAACAGGCTGTAGTTTTACCTGGCTGTATCAGTGAAGCAGAGGAAATCTCTTTGAAAGGAAGAACAGCTTTTGTTTGAAAATCAACAACTTCATAGGACTTTTTTTTTTTTTAAATAAAAGCCAAGTTTCCACCCCCAAACTCTCTCACACACATATGAACACACACACAGACAGCATTTGGATTGAAGATGTCTAAATGACTTTACTTAGAAAGTAATTAGACTTTTGAATGTCCCTTCAACAGGACCGTGGGGTTTGGGGGGAGCAGGGGTTGGAGGAGGGGCATTTAGTTTGTAACTTGGACATAAGTTGAGTGAGAAGACTGCCCAAGAAAGTCTGGGTGGAGAAGGGATGAGGAACATCAGAACGGCTGGTTCATCAACCTTTGCTCTGTTGAAGTTGTTGCCCTATTCTGTACCAGCCTGCGATCCCCTCAGGGGATCCACACACCTTTAGGGCTCTGCTTGTATTAAAACATTGGGTATAGCTTTTAAAAACCTAATATCCGTTGAATGTTTCCATGACCAACATGCTTTTGTTGGTCATGGACCATTATTGTTTGTGCCTTCCAGGCTCTGTTTTCTGAGAGATGTGCAAGCTAGCATACCTTCGATGAGTTTCTCGATTGCATATGAATAATAAGCAAAGAGGCACTGAAAACTGCAGCCACTCTGAACCTCTTAACCTTCCCATTCCACCTCTCCAGAGGTTTATGAATGAATAATTTTTAATTAATTAATTACTCAATCAGTGAGCCTTCTAACAATCAGTTCTGACTAATTCTCTTCCCACTAAAAAGAAGAAAAGAGAAGCAAAAGAAAGAAAGGAAGAAAGCTGTCGGCATGACAGGTAAATTAATGCAGTGTCAGGAAATAGTAAAGACTGACTGAGAAAGGGGAAAATGGGCTTAAACCAGATTTTCTTTCTTCTGGGAAAATGATTATGCATGAATTCCTCCTTGCCCTCTCTAAGGCTGTGCATCTTACGATTACAGGATCTCAGACAGGTCAAAACTAAACCACTAATACTGAACTGCACATCCTCTATCATGGGTAGGAGCCAACCATCCATTTATCTTTAATTCTCTTTTAAAATCTTTAATGGACTTTTTGTCAGAGGAAACATAGAAAAAAAAAAAAGGACAAGAAGAAAGAAAAAAATCTTACAACAGAGTGTGGTTAGAAATTTCTGTCTTGTAGTAAACATAAACTAAGTAACATACAGTATAAGTCAGCCAAATATTTTTGACCTAAAAATGTTCTAGTATTTCAGGGTCTCTTCCACAAGAGTTGAGGTTTGGACAGTTCAGCTGCATCACTGTAATCCCTGTGTGCTGTAGTTGGGCTATGCAGCATAAAAGCCACTTATTTTTATATTTAAAAATACTCTCTGAGTCTCCTCAATTCATAGCTGACCTGTGATATTTCATAAAATCAAGCATACTCTGAAAATATTTCATATCGGTATTTCTTTTCAGCTGCATTATCTTCAAATATCAATAGCAAATAAAAGCCACAATAACACTTTATAACAGGATAATCTGCACAATAAGAATCCTTCCTTGGACAATAAAATTCGTATCTAGATAAATAGAAAAAAGTATACCTTATATAATATGACACTACCTCCTCTCAAACCAGTTCATAAAACCCCTCTCTTTTTATAGGTATTTCTATTCAAGTATACACACAGACATTTCCCTGCATTTAGTTTACATGAAAATTATTTTAAATCATGAATTATTGACACAATATACTTGTACTTTATGTGAGATGTTTTCACTGGAGAAAAAATATTTATGGTTATACTATGCAAAAATTGAATTTTTTTTTCAATTCCCAGTCACGTTTTACTCTTCTAAATTTCATCACTTTAATATTTGGCATTTCTGTGGCCTAAAAAGACTAGACTCATTTAAGATTTAATGAAGAGCTATTTACCTCTTAAATCTTCTTCCCTTGAGTAATGAAATAATTACCCTCCCATAATCATGGAAACGTGAAACTTGAATCTCAAATTGAGCTGTTGTGAGAAGGGTTAGTGATGCTGCATAGGTGATCACCATGGTAACATTTGGAAATGGCACTGATGTCAAGCCAAGAGCGCGGTATTTCTATTCCCACAAGAGCCCGACCAGGGACTGGAGATGAACTCTTGCATGGTCTTAGGAAAATGACTGAAAGCTAACATTTGCTGGGTCTCCCACTGGAGTATACACATCACCATTTCATATCATTCTCAGAGGAAGATGATTTGAAAATACAACAACGTATTCTCAATAGTTTTAATTAAAATTGCTTTGTAACGTTATAGCATTATGATGTGTGTGCGTGTATGTGTGTCTGTGTGTGTGCATGAACTTGCTGTACATTCAAATGAAGCTTAGCCCTAAGGAAGAACATGATGATGCTAGGAAGGGAATTCACTAAAGCTTTAGTCACATAATGGAGATAATTAAATAATTAGACATTCTTCAAAATATCGGAGCAAGTTAATTCATTTTTAGCAGCATGGATTAGGGAGGTGATTTTATAAATCCTAAGGAGAAAATGATTTACTTGGAATTGAAGAGGAATAATTAGTGTCACTTTGGCCCCGGTATGTGTATGTGTGTTTATGTGTTTGTGTGTGTAAAACACATCCTATTTTAATTTCAAACAATACAGGAAACACCAAATTGGACTGAATAGAGAAAAGACAACCCAACACAAATTAAAAACTAATACAAAACACATATATAAAATTTTGCATCACAGGCTCCTGGATGGCTCAGTAAGATAAGTGTCCTACTCTTGATTTCAGCTCAGGTCATGATCTTGGGGTTCTGGGATCAAGCCTAGCATTGGGCCCCGTGCTCAGCAAGGAATCTGCTTAAGGATTCTCTCTCTCTCTCCCTCTCTTTCTGCCGCTCCCCCTGCTCACACTCTCTCTCCCTCAAATTAATTAATTAATAAATTAATAAATCTTTAAAAAATTAGCATCATAATTTTCAAGAATATATAGTAATTTTTGGACTACTTAAAGTTTTTCCAAGAGAAGGGGCTCATACAATAAGTACATAATTACTCTTTGTAATTAGTATATTAAATATTTGTATGCAACTATGTGCTGGTAAAGTGCTTCAAAGCAGTTTGTTCACCTGAGTAAATAAAGATTGCCCTTACAATCTTGCTTATGTTTTATTTAATATTAAATAAATATTTTAACAATGCATAATTTATATATTCATAATATAATAACCTATGTAAATATATAACAAATATAATAATAAATATTTACTAGAGCCAGTGAAAGACCAACTTTAACCCATTTCACCAATTCATTTATCTATATGGACATTCAATCAATCGACAAATCATTACTAAGTACCTGTTATTAAGCACTATGCTATGTGTTGCAGATATTTAAAAAAAAATGAAAATAAGCACAGTTGTCTTGGAGGTTAAGGTCCACTGGTGAGAGCAATAATCAAATATTTACTTAAATAAATGTAAAAATCACAACTATAGCAGATTTTTATCAAAGAAAGTTACATGGTGTTCCATAAATCACTAAAGGAGAGATACGACCCATGAGAAGAGATCAGAACAATCCTCCCTAAGGAAGTGAAGCTGAAAAGTGAAGGAAATTTAGGAATGTGCTATTATCCTCCATATTCTAGAGGAAAATCTCTGA